GTAAGTTTGGAATAGTCCACTTTTGCGTGGGAGGGAGATGGACTGAAATATGCTGTATTTGCTCCCAAGCAAATGTCGGCCTCTCTAGTCTAGTTTATCGCTGTTTTCATGACGAATTAAAGACCTGTTGGTTGTTGCACTGTGTTCTCTCATTCAATTGTGTCCATTTGTCGCCCATTAGTGTATTTCAAATCTAGGTATCTTGTTCTTTCGGCCCTTCTTGTTTTTTTTTTTCGCGTTCTCGCATTAGATTTAGGGTCTCCAGAGGACGTCATCCATAAAAATTACTTGGTGTGGCCTACATGTAAAGCTATGCACAGCTGACGTCTATGTTATGTTATGTTAGTGCATGCTTTGCAGTCTAAAAACGTACTGTATCCTGACACATGGAAATGGAACAGTCCAGCTAAGAGATAACTTTAAGTCTGCTTTAAGTCTGCACAACTCCCTGAAACTCTAATTTTATCTATATTAAATCTGTTGTGTAACAGGCGGTCTAATCTATGAACATACCAGCTCTCCCTGAAAGTAACCAAATCTATTCAAGTCTTAGAATTTAAGAGTTAGTAACAACAATCCGTGGGTGTTTTGATTCTTATCGTGTTGTTTTAGATTTATTAGAGTTATCAGAATTAGTCACTTAAGTCGTTTTTAATGATGATCGGAAGCATGTATAGTATGATCTATCACTTGTCAGCAGATGAAAGATATCGCTTCGTACATCAAACATTCAATCTGTAGGTAGCAAATACAGAAGATACAGTCACATGTCTCGGAGAGCTATGTGTATAAGGCTGTGTGTGAGGTTATTACGAGGATATGTTCACCAAAGGAAATCATATTGTTTTTGCTCGGTTTCCTCTTCTTCTTCTCCAAACCAATAAGGTCAATGACCTGATCCAGACGTCTGTAACCATGGTAACTAGTGTTGGGTTACATAATGTTACAATTTTATAGCAGGAGGGATTTATACTCCTGTCTGACCATATATATGAATGTGTTTGAGTAAGAATTAACAGAGTAGACCATATGCGAAGGTAAACATTATGCATTTGCTTATTTGCAAATAATGTTGCCTTTCTAGTTTATGAATTAGGTCCTGTCTGTAACTATCTGTAGTACAATATGCAAATTCATATAGATATGGTTTCATTCGATTGAGTTTGTTACACACTTTATGTCCCACGGAAATATTAAACAATTTACGTTTACGTGGAACATTTTTATGATTGGGCATTTAAAGATGACCCTGTCGACTCTAGACATGGTAAAATGACTCGTTTCCGGTCGTTGTTCTATATTTTCCTCTGGAGTCCAGCGGTTTTGCCATTTGGTGTAAGCGGAAATGAAGACGCGGCGGATTTTCGCCGTGCCAATTACGCGCTATGCAGAGGGAGAAGGGTTTCCCTGAGGATTTAAACAACACCTCTGTCTCTCATTTAATGAGAAATTCGGTATCGTTTTCTCCATAACTACTTATGGGGATTCGCCGTTATGATTCTCAGTGGATGGTACAAATTTCCGCCTTTCTATTGCATGAAAACATTGCAGGGAAGCAGAAATTGTGCAAAAGAAAAGGATGGGTCGTCGATGAAGGTTAGACATCCAGGTAATACGATACGCCAAAAAGCAGTTACTCAAGCAACTGGATATGATTTTGAAAACGTCAGACGCTTCAGCTAGTATCCACTAGCTTTCGTCAGTGACTATCTGGTGTTGTCTGTTGTCTGAGACGTTTTCAAAATCATATCCAGTTGCTTGAGTAACTGCTTTTTGGCGTAAAAGGATGGGTAATCTGTACAGCACTTTGTGTTCGTCATAGCGTTGGTGCGTTCTGATATGCTGGCAAAGTAAAAGCTTGTGTAGTTATTGTTCAGTCGAAATTACAAGCTGCACCGTCATTCAAAACTAGACCATCATAACTAGATAACTATAATTTTTTGGTATATCCGCATGTACACGTGTGACGATTATATATTTTACAAGCACTACCTGTATGATACGTACGTCAGTGAAGGTTAGACATCCAGGTAATAAGTAAGATACGCAAAAAAACCCAGCTACTCAAGCAACTGGATATGGTTTTGGAAACGGTCAGACGTTTCAGGTAGCATCCAGTGACCACTACCTTTGGTCAGTGAGATCTCTGACCGTTTCCAAAATCATGTCCAGTTGCTTGCGCAACAGCTTTCTGACTACTTGTTTCACATACAAGTAGGATGGTACCCAGGCTATCGGGAGACGGCTGGAAAGAGTAGAAATTGGTCATATAGAGAGATAACATGCCGGGTGCGGCAAAATGTACTCTCTAGCGGACCAACTCCCTCGGCATGTTATCTCTAGCTATTTGACCGATTTCTACTCTTTCCAGCCGTCTCCCGAAGCCCGGTAGAGGCTATTTTTTTTCAACAAGAGTTATGCAATAGAACATCACTTTGATAATATCCTGACGATTTCTGTCCATGTCTCAAGTCAAGATGGATAAAAAGACAGAATTCCTTGTTACTTAAGATTCTAGATAGGTGGTACGTATCCACCGGGAATGGGGATCATTAAATCGCCTGAAATAATGACACCAACCAACATGTCCTTGACTAACCCCTATAACATATTCAGGCATATTATTGCACGTTGAAAAGTCGAACTAAAACATGATATTTGCCTGAATACCATTCCTCTGCACAACATAAAGTGCAACTCATCTTGCTCTAGCCATTTCTTGTACACGTACATGTATAATAATGCTCTGTGAACTACAATTCTACACATTGAAATCATAGATATTATATATAGCAGAGGAATGCGTTTAAGAGGGATCGGGATATGTGTGGAAAAGAGGAAGATGAGAGATGAGGCGGAAATATGTAGTTACGAATATACACGAAGAGGAAGAGAGTAGAAGAATCAAAGTATAGCTCCACCGAAATTTCTGGGGTTGTGTGGCGTAACGGCAGAGCATTCGACTTCGAACCAAGCGGTTCCGGGTTCGAATCCTGTCAAGACACCAACCTTGTGCCCTTGGGAAAGGCACTTAACAAGACTGTCCTCACTTCGCTCGGGTGAAAATGGGTATGCCAGAATGATCATTATCATGATCATGGGCATCAGAGAAAACCAGTTCCATAGTGGGCACTTAGACGAATTTGCGAAACACCAAAATATTCTTGCATGACAGTTACATATTCATATTTACCTTCGCAGAAGGAAAACATATTGTTTTAGCTCTGTTTCTCTTCCTCTTCTTCTCCAAACAAATAAGGTTAATGACCTGAACCAGACGTCTGTCACCATGGTAACTGGTGTTGGGTTACATCATGCTGCAATTTTATAGCAGGAGGGATTTAGACTCCTGTCTGACCATATATATGAATGTGTTTGAGTAATAAATAACAGAACAGACCATACGCGAAGGTAAACATTATGCATTTGCTTTGCAAATGTTAATTTTCTACTCTAATATGTATATTTGAAGCTTGGACTACCTGAGAGAAAGACTATACGTGTACTGACCCCGACATACATTTTGACATAACGCTTGTGTATCTTGTCCCTTAAGCCTCGGTCACAACTCGCCGTGCGTGCTTTTTGTCCGTACGTTTTTGTCGTGGCTACGTCTGCTACGTTTTTTCTGCAAACGTAGGGTGGCCGGCCGAGGGAGTACGTCACTCGCACGGTTGCGCAAGGTGTACGTACGTGGTCTGCACGACACGCCTGGCCGTCAGCGGTTGCGTGCATCGTACGTTGCGCAAGTGGTAAGTGAGTTGTACGTGCTTACAACGCACGATCTCTGTGCGATTGCTACGTTGCCGCGTACAGGCCGTACCTACACGTGCGGCGTACGCACGGTTTCCTTACTCACTCGCACGTTGTAAGTGCGTGCACCTCCTGTTAACGTCATCATCACTAGCCGCCCTGGTGTCTTCCGCGGCCCGTTTCTTTGGGTCTTGTCTGGTAGTCTTCTTCTGAGCCTTCCTGGGCATCTTGGAGACGAGTTGGCAGTCGCCGGTCAAGTCGTCTTTATATACTGTAGAAATCAGGTGCGTTGCACGTGCGTTGCACGTGCGGAGCACTTGGTATGGTGCACGTGTGTTCTGCGTGGTCATTGAGCAGGTCAACTGGGAAGTGAGGAGTAAGCACGGATGACGCAAGCACCGTGCGTGGCACGCACATGCTTCGTGCGCTGTCCGTACAGCAATTGCACGTGAGAATAGTGAAGTTAGACTCACGGAGTCCGTACGTTGCACGCTCATAGGCTGTACGGGGCACGCGCGTCGCACGTACTCGCACGCACGGGTGGTAAATCCGCAGACCGCACGTAGAAAAAGTATTACATGCACTTAAAGTTCTACGGCGTGTCTGCGTGCTCCCAAATCCGTAGGATTCCGTACGGAGGTGGTACTCACCACGCACGGATGCCGTGCGATTGCCCACGTTTTTGCACGTAGACAGCACGCAGAAGCACGTACGGCGAGTTGTGACCGTCGCTTTACTTGATCTTCAAATCGTTTCTCTTTGTCCAATACACCCACACAGTAACCGCTTGCGTCTATCGCGGCAGTTTAAAACACATCAAAAGGACCCAGAACCATCTTTTGCGGGCCTCATCTGGAACTAGAAGCAATCCTGCTCAGGTTTTGAGCCGTTACAATTTCTGGTTTCAAAAACTACAGAGAAAAGTTAATCGACCAACCGCTGAGCGGACACCTGTTTCCTCCACGTGACTCTGGGAACGAGGTCAGGAATGGGCTATTCCATTTCTCTGAAATCCGGGTAAAATTACAAGGACATATTACCCAAACTACTTTCTGTTATGTTTCTTATAAAGGACATTAAAATTCACTTTTGAGATTTTAAAATGTTAGTCGGTGGTGCAAAGACTGTATTAATGTTCTAAACGATGAAAAGGTTTCGATATTGTTAAATGTAGTGTACCAGTGGCACCCCTGTACAAAGAATGGAATGATCAGCTCCCTTATCTATATTTGCCTTTTAGCATCTTCCAAGCAGTGCTTTACGTCGTGAGGTGCGGACTTCCTGCATGGCGTGAGGCTTATACAAGTGTTCAGGCCGGGATTTCTCTTATCAAAGATTGGCAAGAACAGCTACTATAGCTGTTACAGTGGGCAGCGCTAGCATACACAACCTACAAGGTAAGGTGTTTTGTTTGTTAAAGTCTTCTTCATATGTCTCTTTCTAATACGAAAAAAAAAGAGTTACTCAAGCAACTGGATATGATCTGACGTTTCAGGTAGCATCCACTACCTTTCGTCAGTGACACTGGAGAATTGTCAGATAAGCAGGTTTATGATTGATATTCAAATAGGTAAAGACGCCTGGCCGTTTCCAAAATTATATCCAGTTTCTCGAGTAACTGACTTTTTTGGCGTATCTTATTACCTGGATTTCTAACCATCAGCGACGCCTGTTTTTAATGTTTATATTTCATATCTACGGTAGGTTTACAACTAGTATTTTAGCTTATTTTGGGTGTAGTCAGTGAGTAGTTGAGGCTAATCAGGTTTCGGCATGGCTACACACATCCGTAAATAATTTCATCAGGTTGGTAAACGACTGCATTTTTGACATCAGCGAAAATGGGCAAACATGTGTGTAGCCAAATGAATAGCAAAGTTCTTTCTATCACAACCATTTATTTTTTCAAGCCAACGTTTCGATGACCTTCTGTCATCTTCATCAGGGCAATACTGACTGGTTTATTGTCCTGATGAAGATGACAGAAGGTCATCGAAACGTTGGCTTGAAAAAATAAATGGTTGTGATAGAAAGAACTTTGCTATTCATTTGGCTACACACATGTTTGCCCATTTTCGCTGATGTCAAAAATGCATCCATATAGGCCACAGAAATTACTTGCTGTGGCCTTATAAAAAAATTGGCAAATATGATCCACAGCTGGAAGAATGGCAGAAGATAATTCCACGGGCCTGTGGACTCTCACGACGCAAGTTGCTCACACACTTAAGGAGGCCGCCATGGAGTCTTACACAGCCGTCTTGGCAAACGGCACTTACGTCTTTCTCAAGGAACTCATCATCACCGAGGAAGAATGTCTTGGCGCAGACTTTGACATCCCAGAAGGTGAGATAAGATAAGAAAAGATGTTGGCATGTACGCGGGTGTATCTGTCAAACGATCTGTATATGTTCAATTCATAAAAATTGTGCCTTATTGTTTACTGCATATATTTGTTGTAAAATCAATGTTTTTGTATAAAACTTATGTTGATGTGTGTTTAACCGCGGCGGTAGTAGTTTTTTTTTTCATTTGGCCACACCAAGTGATTTTTATGGATGACGTCCTCTGGAGACCCTAAATCTATAATGCGAGAGCGCGAAAAAAAAAACAAGAAGGGCCGAAAAAACAAGATGCCTAGAATTGAAATATACTAAGGGACGACAAATCTTAGGACGCAAATAAATGAGAGAACGCAACAAGTCTTTTATTCGTCATGAAAACATGTTTTTTTTTGCCCTTCTTGTTTTTTGCGCTTTCGCATTAGATTTAGGGTCTCCAGAGGACGTCACCCATAAAAATTACTTGGTGTGGCCTAATGAAAAAAAAAACTGTGCGGTAACTTCAGTTCGTCTCACCTATGATCATCAGTTGTTTAAGATCCCGTCTGCCTGCAGTCGCTCGATAAAGAAGGTCGCTATCCTCTCTCTATAGCTTTCTTCTCGCTACTCACCGACTAAAGCTGTACAAATTGCTATCATTGGCACACGCAGATACACAGATACAAAGAATAACGGGCTGGCAAAATCCACCCTTTGTAAGAACGGATACAGATTGTCTGTTTTCCTAGAAAAAGCACTATCGACAAGGCCAATGACAAGCACCATGAGAGCTGCAAAACGTCTTCTTCCCTCTCTAAGTGAAGTACAGAAGACCATTAAGACATCTTGAGTGTTCTGTGTTTTAAGAAAGGCCACAGGTACTTAATGTTGTAGATGGCAAATGCATCCCCCATTACTACATACACTGCTAATGGCCGGTAGTTACAATATGACTACATGCCTCAATTCACCAGTTTCCCATTCCCATGACGCATTGCACCTTGGGGTGTGTGTGTAAAATCTCCCAGATTGCATAGCGCCGGAGGGTATCTTGTTGACGTTAAACAACTTGTCTTTTGTTGTAATTTTGAGGTGTTGGGGCATTTTATGCTCAACATTAATTGACTTACTATAGGACATAGGTAGAATCTGACAACAAATATTGAATGAAATTTTTGTATTCTTTTTAAGGCCACACCAAGTAAATTTTATGGATGACGTCCTTTAAAGACCCTAGATCTAATGCGAGGGGGGGAAAAACAAGAAGGGACCTAAGAAACAAGATGCCTAGATTATAAATATAATAAGAGACGACAAATGTTAGGACACAAATTGAATGAGGTGAAACAGTGTAACAAGCAAGAAGTCTTTCATTCATCATCAAAATAGCAATAAATCAGGTGGAACATCAGTTGTCGTCCTGTCCTGTTTTTGCGTTACGGGTTTCACGTCAATCTGACGATTTGCGGGACTGTCATGACTCTTTGGTCATAGTTACAGGAAGCGGAATTTCTTGTTTTTTTTCTAGGAACAGGCCAAAATCAATGCGTGCGCGGACGTCATCCATAAAATTTACTTGGTGTGGCCTAACATGGAACATGTGGTTTGTAACATTACAGTGGTAACGCTATAACATTACAGTCTGTCAATAGAAAAGGAGATTCAAATACTGTATATTGCTTGAAATAATTCAACAGATGTTGTAGTATATAAATATTAAGGCAGCAACCTTCATTGTTTTAGTTTCTGTCATCAACGAATGTAAAAAAAACACCACATAAACACATAATTCAGATCACAAGGCGCAATGCAACATGGGAATTTTTACCCCCAGGCGCAATGCGTCATGGGAATGGGTAACTGGTGAATGGGGTTGGGTAACAGACCACAGTCCGGCTGACGACCTTCTGTTGGTATCGACCGTCTGGTCAAAGAATAGAAAATACGCCCTAGGCTTCTACATTCTGTACCAGGTGTGCATATTGTAACATGTGGTGGGGACATAAAAAACGAACACAACTGAATTCCCTCGTGTTGGACATAGCCATAAAACACCACTAGTGTCTGCCTGATCGAGAGAATTTTCCTCGTGTTGAACATAGCCTAACATAAGGCCCTTTTCCTACTAGGATAAAATTATCCGGATTGATCCGAATGCAAAACCAATCTTTCTATTCGGGTAACATGTGGTAGGGACATAAAAATGAACACAACTGAAAAGAATGAAACACAAAACTAAGGCCATTTTCCCACTAGGATAAAATTATCCGGATTGATTCGAATGCAAAGCAAATCTATCTATTCGGCTGGATCCGGACAATTCTATCCTAGTACAAAGAGGGTCCAACACACCCGATGTATACTAGATAACTTTTATTGTACATTCATTCCCTACCGGGCTAAGTACAGGTGAACAGATGAAAAGGTTTATACATGCTTGTAGTACAAACAGGACTACTGATACTAATATAACTATTCAAAATCAGCTCTAAAATTACTCTAATACAAAGGTTCGGCTTCTTCTCGTTTCTTTGTGATGTTAAAAATATAATTTGAGATGAGTTTGTTTAATACAGGATGATCAAATACACTGTCATGCAAAACAGTTGAATTTCATATTTTCAGAAACTCATAGGGTTACTATACAGAATATGGAACCGCTATATGCTGCATGAGCTAGATACATTTGATATACATGTATGTCCAAGTGTTGTATATGGTAGTGGTTCGTTACCATAGCCTTTACATAAGGCCACACTGACCTAATTTTATGGATGACATCCTCTGAAGACCCCCAAACTAGTGCGCGCGGGCGAATAAAAAATAATTCTGGCCAGAAATAAAAATGCTACTAAACCACAGGAATACAAAGCTGTATATGACAATCCGGCACATTTATGAATATTTTTGCGGATTCATGAATCGACACTGCACGTATGTGCTGAGTTCTTGAGTCGTGGAGCTTCAGTAGCCTGGGTGCCGTCCTCCTGAGTTACCACCGGCTCCCTACTGTCGCTATATAGCACGCTACCATGGGCTATCCAGGCCAGAGCCTCGGATGACGTGAATTTTTTTTTTTGAGAACAGACGAAAATCAATGCGCGCGTGGATGTCATCCATAAAATGAAGTCGGTGTGGCCTAAACTTTTAACCTTATCAAAGGTACCCAAAAAGACAAGATATAAAGATAGCTTAAAGAAGATAGTGGTCCATTATTGCTTTTAAGTACCTAGCCATTAGACTGGCTCATCCGGATAGGCGAAAAGGCTTACAGAATCGTGAGTAAACAACTAAGTCGTGGGCCATTATATAGTTGACCTTTGGAGAGAGCAAAGAGCATGGTTACATTACTCATGTACTGATGGTTTTTAAGTACCAGGCCGGATGCATTAGGCATGTTGTCAGATGTTGGCAGGAAGAACAAAATTGTCAGAAAAGAATTCAAAACATGATAAATTTTCATCGTGTGTTTTCATGTAGGTAAAGTCATAGTAAAGTCAAACCCGATTTTTCAAAGCCAATTTTCTAGCCATTTATCTACGTACTGAGCTGAAAATCACACTTTCCCAATCTATATTGACCCTCATGGAGCAAAAATTACTAAAATTCTGACGGAAAATGGTTACTGGAATGGCCCTGGGTTGATTTTTAGGGTACCACTCAGAAAATAAAGTCATCTTGGGGCTTGTTTCTGCAGTTTTAAAAGCCCACATTAGCACATTTCAATCAGTATTTCATACTTTGGGCATTTAAAACGGCAGAAACAAGCCCCAAGATGAGTCCTTTATTTTCTGGGTGGTACCCTAAAAATCAGCCCAGGGCCCTTCCAGTAACCATTTTCCGTCAGAATTTAGGGAATTTTGCTCTACAACGGTTATATAATGGATAGTGTGGTTTCAACTTAGTATGTAGAAAAGTGACTAGAACATTGACTTTGAAAAATCGGGTTTCCAAGCCCTAAAAACTGCACTGGATGCCTTTAATAGGTTTTTAAAATACCTGATTCTATATATAAAAAACACAGTATCTTTCATTTTTGTAAAATTAGATAGAATGGTCCGAAAAAGTTTCAGGATACATTATACGAGTAGATGAATACTAGTATCCGGTTGTTACTGCATGAAAGCTTAACATTTTATATGGCGTCTTCGAATCGTCTCTTCCTGTCCCTTTCAACTTACATTTCGGCTTGACATTCATCATACAGACCGACAATTGTAGGGATGTCCTAAGCATCATTTCCTTCCGTGACAAAATTGATGCATTCTTAACGGAAGTTCCTCTTAGCTTCTTCCGCGGCATTTTCCAAACTCTGCAATTACATGAGCTCTACAATAACTGCGCTGGCGACTGGAGACTTCCTGTCCCCATCATTGGGGTAGAGTAGAATTTATGGCTGAAATTCCATGTATGTATAGAAGTAAGGCCGCAGCAAGTAAATTGTATGGATGACATCCTCCACAGACTCCAAATCTAATGCGATACGGCGAAAACAAAACAAAGCGCCCCCCCCCCAAAACAAGATTCCTACATTTTCAAATTTTGACATCATAAACCTTGTTAAACAAGAAATGATACCCGTATTGTGCAAGGTTTACTGTCAACTATTACAACACCCATTGTCACTGAAAAATAAAAGTTTCTAATCATTGTACAAATGGTTTTGATTCAGTGGGAAATTCGCATATAAAAGGGATGAAATACATCGCTGCAAGCATACAATACTTCGTTAGTTTTTATTGAAAAACGCGCCTGGCAAAATGACAATGTTTCACGAATGACATAGGCGTAAATGCCAATTTTTTACTGTTCTATCCCCCTGTCGATGTTTACGGTTTCAATGTATTTCTCCCAAAAATTAATACATTATATGCGCAAATTCCTAGTCAAAGATGCAATCAGAACGTTCTTACTTACACTCTCCCTTTACATACACTACACTTACATACACTAACCCTTTCCAATAGTACCTTTAACTCAATGTAACGGCAGTATCTTTTGTGATGAGTTTTGGTGATATACGGACTTATATTGCCATTGCAACTATACATATAACATCTCCACAATGCTGCTATACAACAGACTTCATTCCGTGCCTTCAACTGCAGCCATGGTCACATACGCACTACGATTTTTCACTCTAAGACTTCCAGTGATGCTACGACAGCCTTTTTGTGACAAAGCAGTAGTATTCTGTACAGTACATCCACCAGAATCCTGTAATAGTCTCATGTTGCTTTCGTACGTTTGTGGCAGTAAAGCGCGACCAGGTACAACCATGGCAGGGTTTCCATACGACAGTGGGTATTGTCCTTGGTGCTGAAAACCTGGTGCAGGTTCAGCTCCAAGTAATAAAAACTGCCATTCTTTCACCAGGGGACTACTGTAACAGTACCTGGGACCGGATCTACTGCTGGCCGCCTGTCGCCGCCGGTACCACCGTCTACCTGCCCTGTCCGGAACACAAGGGCTACGACGGCTCGAGTGAGTATCCGTTTATTTATTTATCTTCTTTATTAAACTTCACAGATTTAAAAATCTGTGATAGGCCGGCAACAGAAAGCTGCTTTCTCTTCCGTTTCTCTCTTCTTTCCTTCCTCCCTTATTATATTTGCCTTCGCCAAAGGAAAACATATCGTTTTTGCTCTGTTTCTTCTTCCTCTTCTTTTCCTCCAAAAAATAAGGTCAATGGCCTGAACCAGACGTCTGTCTCCATGGTAACTAGTGCTGGGTTACATCATGTTGCAATTTTATAGCAGGAGGGATTTAGACTCCCGTCACCTTATATAATGTGTTTGAGTAAGAACAGAGTAGACCATATCCGAAGGTAAACATTATGCATTTTCTTGGCAAATGTTTCCTTTCTAGTTTTCTTTTGTCTTCTTTCCTTTTCCACCTTTCTTTCTCTCATGTTTTTACCATCCAATCCTCCACAGATCTCTCAGATATTCCCCGTTATTTCTAAGACAGAAATTTGAATTTATTTCTCTGAAATAGCACAAAAAACACACTCCACAGATACATCTTCACAAAGCTTGATATTAAATCAGATTAACTTCCCGTGGTCTTCTAAAGAAACGATGTTAATCATCAAAGGCCTACCCCGAGGTGTATAGTGATCGTACACCTATTTGAAGATTATTTAATAATGTTTTACTGGGAAATTACCTTAGGCCATAACATCAACCTTTGCGGCCCAGTAACATGAAAATATCAAATTAAATCCACACTTTTATTCATGAAATGAAGTTGGCTCTGTGCACGCCCACGCTACAGCTAAAGGTTGCTAATTGTGATTTTATCACCATAGCAACCTATCAGCTGACGTTACATCACTATGGCAACGTGATACAATCGACCTGTATTTGCGCACAGATTTACCAACTCAAACAGTATGGAAAATCTCATTCAATATCTACAGTCTGTGCTAACCGAAGTAAGCACTTGGATGCAGCTACACTAGATCTCCTTTTTAGAGTACTTTAGGGGCCACCGACACCTGTGTACCTGTGTGAGTTACTCGTATGTTTATGTGAAGCCCCTGTTACACGTAGCCGAATATGGCCTCCCGAACACCGACCGAACTCCCCAAACCATATATGGTTAGGAGTAGGTCGGGACCAAGGTCAACTGTGGTTGGCTGATGTTCGGCTACAGTTCGGTTTTGCCAGCCAAATATTTCAAAAATGTTTAAAACATTTAGGTTGGGTACTGGTTGGCTGGTGGTTGGAAATAGGCCAGCAGCGTTCGGGGCGTGATTCTGAGTCAAATTTGACTCAAATGTAACTCAAATTCGATTTGATATAGAAAGGTAGGCCTTGCCTAAATCTGATCAAACTTCAGCCAACCTTGGTTGGTTGGTGGTCGGAGGAAGGTTCTGAATGTATGACAGGGGCTCTACCATGTCTGATCCTAGTGTCTTCCCCTTTAGAGATACTGGCGTACCGTAGGTGTAACAAAGCGAGAAAGTGGCAAAATCACATTCAATATCTTCAATCTGTGCTATAACTGAAGAAAACACTTGAATCCAACCACACTAAATCTCCTTTTAAATCCCGACGTTGTTCCCTGTAGAGATCCTGGCGTACCGTACGTGTAACCAGACGGGGCAGTGGCTGTGGGGACCGTGGACTAACTACACCGCCTGTCTCCCGCACAAGCTGCCGCCGGAACCTCCGGTCAAAGAGGTGGTCTTAACTTCTGGTTTCTTATTCTTATATCTATCAGTATATCTATCAGACGTAACATACTAGATGGGCAACCTTGTCTGTATCTTCATCGGCCATATGAATCATTTGCTTTAAATTTTAAAAAATCAGTACATCTTAACACTGTAGATTATATTATCTTGAAAGTTGATATGTGTTGGTAGAAGTCATTATGAAGGATTAATTTCCAACAGAAGAGAAAATGATTCATAATACAGTAAATTATATGATCTGCATCATCATATACAACAATTTGTGGACATGCAGTACTATATAGTCAGCCTGCTTAACAGATTTAATAACGTTAGTTTGCTATTCAGAATTGATATGCTTTTCATTGGGGAAATCTTAATCAGAAAATACTAATAAAACATACTGCCTTAAGCATAATTGTTGTGAGTAGTCTGGGACGTTTAATTTCTTGTTCCATGAACTGACCATGGGTGTATGATATAAACATTCTTTTTTTTACGATCTTCCGTTTCCGGTTCACAGCTGCCAATCCTGACCTTCGTTGTTCGTGACATCTATTTCTACGGGTCCTGCATGTCTCTCGCCTTCCTATTGGCTACCGTCTTCATCTACTACTACCTGAGGTAAGGAATATATACTTCTCTAACCAATTAAGTCTTTTAAAATCAATTAACCTCTGCGCGTTAAAGAACCCAACACACTTAATGAAAAATAAAGTGTTCTCCAACTCAAGAAAAAATAACTCAACAGGAATTTTTGACCGAATTACTCAGTATTCATCAGCTTTCTGACCCGAGTGCTGTAGACACGTGACTTTTACCCACGTGTGACGTCAGCACTGGGTCAAAGTTCGTCGGAAGTCGGTACCGCCCCCCGTCCCAGTTGAGCGAAGGTTGGTATGCCCTGATGAACTTTTATGCTAACCCAACCAACTTGTTGATACATTTAGGCATGTGACATCTGAAATATACTTTAATCAGTCAATTGTTTGGCTGTTTTCGAAAATATTTTACATGAAAACAAAAAAAAGTCGGGTAATTTGGAACGTGGATATAAATAGTAGAGTTTTTGGCAGAATATAAAGATACTTTCCTCACTAGGAGAGTTCTGGGAACAATTATTCTTGTATACCGATTATTAGTTTAATCAGGAGACATTATAATTCATCATTGATGTTATTCAGCAATAAATCAGATCGTATCTTACATGTATAAACTTCTCAAACACTAAGACTTCTAAGGATAAGAAGATTTTTCTGTTGTCTTGCTCGACTCGCAATTTATCAGAAGATATTACACAAAGAAGTGCTACATCCAGTCTGAAACCGATTGTCGCTAAAATTGCGATATATTGAAGCTGTAAAAATACATAAAGCAGACTAAAATACAAGTTGTAATAAGAGTAACCCTGAAAGACAGAAATAAAATCATGACAACTATTAAGGCAAACCATTAAGGCTAAAATTAGTACATTTTATAGATGACATCCTCCGTAGACTCCAAATCTAATGCGATACGCCGAAAAAAAAAACAAGGCAGGCCAAAAAAAGAAGATTTCTACATTTACAAATTTTAAGACCATAAACCTTGTTAAACAAGATTTTTGATCCAGTGGCAACATCACATATAAAGGAATGAAATACAACACTGCAACAAAGTAAAAGACAAAACAATAAACCAGAGCCTTGTCTTGTCTTGTCTCCTCTCTTCATGTCTATCTGCCATCCACGTTCCGGCATGGCAACAGATATCTTTACCCATTTTCGGCATGTTGTCCACTGTCAAAGGGCAACAAAATTTCTTTTTTCCCCCAAAAATCAGACCGAAACATTTCTTTTTTCCCCCAAAAAATCAGGCGAAAATTAATGCGCGCGCTGATGTCATCCATACAAATTACTTGCTGTGGCCTTGGGCAGACTTATAACAGCCATATAACAGAAGGATAGGAGTCGTTTCCTTGTATCAGTGTCAGGATTTATGATGCTAGCTGCGCGGGAAATCTTCTTATCATCTCACCTTGTTATTTTTATCTTGAAGATACTCTGGTTATATTACTGCTGACTGATAGTAGCGATGAGCTGCAATCCCTTCTTAAGAAGTGTACGTTATAAATCTTGAAAAATTAAGAATGATGGTTCCGAAAAGTCTTCTTGTTACTACTTCTGAATTCTACTGAGACCTGTAACGTTCACAATCGTTCAAATTTCTTGTATTCATTCATTTCAGCTGATATAACAATGACTGATTACCCATTATGAATACGAGTATCTATCTACAAATTGAGAATGATTGTTCAGAAAACTGTCCCTGTCAGTATTTTTTTAATTCTACCAAGACCTGTAACGTTCACAAACGTTCAAATTATCCATCGTTTTCTTGTATTTATTCATATCAGCTGATATAACAATGACTGATATACCCATTATGAATACGAGTATCTATATACAAATTGAGAATGATTGTTCAGAAAACTGTCCGTGTCAGTATTTCTAAATTCTACCAAGACCTGTAACGTTCACAATCGTTTAAATCCATCGTTTACTTGTATTAACATATCTCAGCTGATATAAAAATGATTGATATACCCATTATGAATATCTATCCACAAATTTAGAATGATGGTTCAGAAAACTATCCGTGTCAGTATTTCTGAATTCTACCAAGGCCTAGATGAACCAAAACTTCTACAACAAGTAAAATCTAAAAATTAACTAGAAAGCTAACATTTGCAAAGCAAATGCATAATGTTTACCTTCGCATATGGTCTGCTCTGTTAATTCTCGCTCAAAAACATTCATATATATATATATATATATATATATATATATATGGTTACACAGGAGTCTAAATCCCTCCTGCTATAAAATTGTAACATGATGTAATCCAACACTAGTTACCATGGTGAGAGACGTCTGGTTCAGGTCATTGACCTTATTGGTTTTGGAGAAGAAGAAGAAACAGAGCAAAAACAACACGTTTTCCTTCGGTAAACATATCAAATAAATGCCCAAAATTCAGAATACGTTTCTGAATCCAGAGTGACAACCTTCTAGTCAGAACCTTTAACGCTTTTCAAACCTAACATGTCTGGACTCTCGCCCTGTATAGGTTTCGTTTTAAATCAAGCTCCACAGGTCCCAGAATGAGTTATGTAACTTATCTCTATAAATGTGACTTTCCGTTGAGACCATGTCTGTGCAGCATTCTGTGTTGAGGCCCCTTGATGACTAGATGGCTTACCATGGCGTCTTTCCGCTAAAACACCCGAGGCTAGGACTTTGTACTCTGTACATGTACTTTGCAAGGTGGACAAACGTTTAAAACATATATGAGATGATGTCTATCGCTTTGGGCCAGCTATATACACATACTGTATGCATATGACTTATGGTGTATGAAGTTTATTACGGCCGAGAAAAATATTCGCAGATAAAAACCGATAAAATTGCTCAAATAAAATTGCTGCGTGTCGTTGGATTGTTGGTATTAGGCCACACCAATTTAATTTGTTAGTTCTCGGATTCGCCCGCTTCCTTTTTTCCGGTTTGCAAAAAAAAAAAAACATTTCAGGCTCTGAATCAACTAAAAAAATTATCATGTTTTGGCCACAACAGTTGAAGGAAGTCCCTTCTCTTCAGAATTGTTACAGTATTTACATCTATCAATGCAGTGGTTTGATTACAAGTTTGAAATTCATTGTTTGAATTACATACCAGTCTGGTATGTAGACTTCAAGGCTCGCATGAGTCCTATCATAGAATGAATGCCTGGCTCTGTTTTCATTTTTTCGCCCTGTCGCTTCATATTTTTTTCTGAAAAAAATCCGAGAACCAACAAATCAAATTGGTGTGGCCTTAACGTAGATCTAGACCTGTGAAAAGGCATTTGAATTGCAAAGCGTAACTTTATCTTAACGACGCTCTGGGCGTTAATTGCCTTCTTAAGTCGTCAAATGGGCCCTGGAGGTAATTAGGGTAATCTGCAGAAATGAATTGGTCCGAGTTGGCTTCCCTGTGGAACCCCGGACCCTAGGGACAGCACTAATCCCAGCTTGTGCGCTGACGACCAGATGGTATCTCAGCTAATTAACAGGATATATATTCACATTTTACCAAGACCAAAGGTCCTACGTTTGCTAATAGAAATTTACCGATTTAACATTAGCTATTTCTTTAGACCAAAATTACACATATCCGGAGACACTTTAGCTAATTACGGATCAAGGACATAATTGTCTTCGTCAGAAGGACTATGAAATTGTCTCGCCGGAGTGTGGGGAACTGCGGATTTTGCGATATAACTCTGGAAGGCATGATTCGACGTCCATGATTTTTGGCAGGCAGATTACCGCTGTTGAGGCCGAAGTCAAGTACAAGTTTTGGCTTCGTGGGGGTCCGTGCGTCACGTTAGTGCACCTTTTGTGTTTGTGGCTTGTTAGCAAGATAACTCAAGTATTTGTAAAATGTTGATTATAATTCTTGGTGTGGTGCTTACTATTGTCGGGACCAAGGTTAAGTTCGTTACTGAGCTTCGTGGGGGGTTTCGTTATGACTACAGGGGGCATTTTGTTAATTTTTCTTGTGAGCAGGATAACTTTTGTATGTGTGGATGGAAGTTAATGAAATTTGATAGGCATGTTACTGTCGTGGTCTCCAAGATTGAGTTCAAAGATGAGAGTCGTGGAGGTCATGTCCCCGTAATAGGACCTTTTGTGTTTAGAAATCCCCCACCTACATCTGCTTGGAGACAGCCGACAGCTGGATATAGCCAGGGAACCCCATAATGGGATGGGATCAAATGACGTTACATTGAGGGATTGTACTATAACTTCAGCAGGGGGAGGATAGGTTGGACATATGTCAGGTTATTTTCTACGGCCACACCAAGTAATTGGTATGGATGACGTCCACTGGAGACCTTAAATCTAATTACCTTAAATTTAAGGCAAGCGCGCAATAAAAACACGAAGGGCCAAAAAACGAGATGCCTAGATTTGGAATATACTAACTGTAGAAGTACAAATGTTAGGACACAAAGAACACAAGAAACAAGTCTTCTATTTGTCATAAAGACAAATTAACAAAACAGCAGTAGTCACCCTGTTCTGATTCTTTCCTTTATAACATCTTCTCTTATTATATTTTGCGGCGCTGTCGTGACACTTTCAACACAGTAAGAATTTCTTGAACGTTTTTTTTTACCATTTTCGCATGCGCGAAAATGGTAACTCAGACGAGATTGAGATTGGATCAACGGATGGATGGATCAACGGTTCCACCCTTCAACGGCCATGCAGACATGCTAAGTCACCGCATGTCGCTAGATGTCGTTGTTGCGACGGCCATGCAGACATGCTGAGTTGCCGCATGTCGCTAGATGTCGTTGTTGCGAGTGCACTTTTTACCATTTATGCCTTGGACGTTTGTATACTTTCCATTATGGTTGCTAATTTCAAAATCATAGTTCTATTAATGTTGCATAACAAAGCTGCTGACAAAACAAACTTAATTTGTCTTGAACAATAACTTGATTTTATTATTTGCCAAAAATGTTGATAAAGACATGTCTATAATCAAGGATTCACAGTAATCAAGGATTTTAATAAACTGCATAAATTATGTCAA